GAGCAATGTCTGAGCAGCAATGACTGGGGGTGATCTGGGTGCAGAGGGAGGGCAGAGGCGGACAGAATGTCTGTCTGTGTGTTGGGGGGAGCTAACAGAATGGCAGCACCTCACACCCACTCTGCACAAGGCGCAGGGCAGTGGAGGATCTGGCCCAGTAGTGTTAGGGTTGGGTAAAATTGGGCTCAGTCCAAATCAGGCCTCCTCCTGAAACTTGCAAGGTTCCCTGTTTTAAGAGGGCAGGAGGTTTCAGGGGTGGAGGGGAACATACAGCTGGGAAACCGTGTTACAGACTCAGTCATGGGATCTGCCATCTAAACCTGCTTTTATTCCATGCCCTTTTGGAGAATATTTTCTAAAACAAAGTTCAGCTAAGTAAAAAAGCTGCTTCTCACCTGCGCTCGCACTCCCTCTGGGTCCCGGCAGGTGGCAAAGATCACTTCTGGTGGGTTCGGTTTCCCAATAAAACGCTTGATCAGCTCCAGGCCAATTCCCCGATTGGATCCAGTCACCAGGACACTACGGACATGAAACCCTGCCATGGTCTCTTCACAGCTGCCTCTAGTCTCTGTCTCTGTAAAGTCAATTTAACATCTGCTGTGTCATTTCCTCTGAACTGATTTTGCTGTGATGAATCCCCGCCTACTTTTTTGCTACTTTCCCTGGAGGCTTATGTTTGTTACAAAAGTTTATGTCATGTTTGATAAAATGACTCAGTTGATGCATCTCTGGAATAAACAGGAGCTAAGTTGGTGGAATGACAGTGAAACACAAGTCCTCTATCTGAACAGCTCCTGCAAGTCACTGTGACAGAGAATGCCTGATTTTTTCTTACCACAAGCTCTTAAACTGCCCTGAAGCCTTTTCTTTCATTACTAACTTGTTCATGGGGCTACCTCTAGTTTCAGCTGTGTTAGTGTAAATTGGCATAATTTCCCTGAAGATGCAGATTTAGTCTTCTACATGTCTCAGCAGATCTCCAGTTGCTAGATCTAGAAAGGGTACGAGGGGAAACGGAGCAAAGTTAGTTAAAGAAAACATTGATCAGAGAACTGGAAAGGAGAGTCTGAAAAAAACTGCCCTAGGGTAGCGTTAGCTAGAGAAGGGATTAAGTCACAATAGCCAGGTCCATTCTAAGCATCCCAGAGTACAGGTCATGGCTTTGGTTTGGGTCCGTCAAACATTGTGGCTGAAATGTGTAAGGTATGTCTGTACTACAAAATTAGGTTGAATTTATAGAAGTCGATTTTTTAGGAAGCAATTCTATACAGTCGATTGTGTGTGTCCCCACTAAGCGCATTAAGTTGGCGGAGTGTGTCCACAGTACCGTGGCTAGCGTCGACTTCCGGAGCGTTGCACTGTGGTAGCTATCCCACAGTTCCCGCAGTCTCTGCCACCCATTGGAATTCTGGGTTGAGCTCACAATGTCTGATGGGGCAAAAACATTGTCGCAGGTGGTTTTGGGTACATGTCGTCAGTTGCCCCTCCCTCCGTGAAAGCAAAGGCAGACAATCGTTTTGTGCCTTTTTTCCATGGGGGTGCCATATTGCTTTCAGCAGACGGTGCAGTAGTACTGCTAACTGTCGTCATCGAACGACTGCTTCCACTGCCATTCTACTTTCCTGCTCTGGCCGCAGACGGTGCAATAGGTCGGAAAAACTGGCATTCCAACCACCGCTTCCGCTGCCACTCTGCTCTCCTGTCTCGATCGATAGCGAATTTCTCCATGTTGGCTGTCATGGGCTCCTGCTTCCGCTGCAACTCTGCTCTCCTGCTCTCATGAATTCACCTCGCAGGTCCTCTCGTCGTTCTCTATAAATATCTATTCTCGTGGCATCTCTCTATAAATATCCATTCCGTCATCCACCGCTTCCGCTGCAAATCTGCTCTCCTGCAGACACCATACCATGGCAAGCATGGAGCCTGCTCAGATCACCGTGGCAGTTATCACCGTTGTAAACACCTCGCATGTTATCCTGCAGTATATGCAGAACCAGAACCTGCAAAAGCAAAACCAGGCGAGGAGGCGACGGCAGCACGGTGACGAGAGTGATGAGGACACAGACTTCTCTTAAAGCATGGGCCCTGACAATGTGCACATCATGGTGGTAATGGGGCAGGTTCATGCCGTGGAACGCCGATTCTGGGCCCGGGAAACAAGCACAGACTGGTGAGACCGCATAGTGTTGCAGGTCTGGGATGAATCCCAGTGGCTGCGAAACTTTCGCATGTGTAAGGGCACTTTCATGGATCTTTGTGACTTGTTTTCCCTTGCCCTGAAATGCAAGAATACCAAGATGAGAGCAGCCCTCACAGTTCACAAGCGAGTGGCAATAGCCCTCTGGAAACTTGCAACGCCAGACAGCTACCAGTCAGTCGGGAATCAATTTGGAGTGGGCAAATCTACTTTGGGGGCTGCTGTGATCCAAGTAGCCAATGCAATCAAAGAGCTGCTGCTATCAAGGGTAGTGACTCTGGGAAATGTACAGGCCAGAGTGGATGGCTTTGCTGCAATGGGATTCCCTAACTGCAGTGGGGTGATAGACGGAACCCATATCCCTATCTTGGGACTGGAGCACCAAGGCAGCGAGTACATAAACTGAAAGGGGTACTTTTCAATGGTGCTGCAAGCACTGGTGGATCACAAGGGATGTTTCACCAACATAAACGTGGGATGGCCGGGAAAGGTACATGGCGCTCACATCTTCAGGAACTCTGGTCTATCTGAATGGCTGCAACAAGGGACTTACTTTCCAGAGTAGAAAATAACCGTTGGGGATGTTGAAATGCCTATAGTTATCCTTAGGGACCCAGCCTACCCCTTAATGTCATGGCTCATGAAGTCATACACAGGCAGCCAGGACAGTAGTCAGGAGCTGTTCAACTATAGGCTGAGCAAGTGCAGAATGGTGGTAGAATGTGCATTTGAACATTTAAAAGCGTGCTGGCGCAGTTTACTGACTCGGTTAGACCTCAGCGAAACCAATATTCCCATTGTTATTACTGCTTGCTGTGCGCTCCACAATATCTGTGAGAGTAAGGGGGAGATATTTATGGCAGGGTGGGAGGTTGAGGCAAATCGCCTGGCCGCTGATTACGCGCAGCCAGACACCAGGGCGGTTAGAAGAGCACAGCATGGAAGCTTTGAAAACCAGTTTTGTGACTGGCCAGACTATGGTGTGAAAGTTCTGTTTGTTTCTCCTTGATGAAAACCCACCCCCTTGGTTCACTCTACTTCCCTGTAAAACAACCGCCCTCCCCTCCCCCCTTCGATCACCGCTTGCAGAGGCAATAAAATCATTGTTGTTTCAAATTCATGCATTCTTTATTAATTCGTCACACAAATAGGGGGATACTGCCAAGGTAGCTCGGGAGGGGTGGGGGAGGTGGGAAGAACCGGGTGGGGTGGGAGAGGAGGGGAGGATGGAAGGACAAGGCCACACTGCACTTCACAACTTATTGAATGCCAGCCTTCTGTGGCTCGGGCAGTCCTCTGGGGTGGAGTGGTTGGGTGCCCGGAGCCCCACTCCCCGCGTTTTTGGGCGTCTGGGTGAGGAGGCTATGGAACTTGGGGAGGAGGGCAGTCAGCTACACAGGAGCTGAAGCGGCAGACTGTAATCCTGCTGCCTTTCCTTCAGCTCAACCATACACCAGAGCATATCAGTTTGATCCTCCAGTAGCCTCAGCATTGCCTCCTGCCTCCTCTCATCACGCTGCCACCACCTCTCCTCTTGCTCTAGCCATCTATCCTCTCGCGCTTCCCTCCTGTCCTGACGTTCATTTTGTGTTTTCCTGGACTCTGATATTGTCTGCCTCCACGCATTTTGCTGGGCTCTTTCAGGGCGGGAGGACTGCATGAACTCAGAGAACATTTCATCGTGAGTGCATTTTTTTCGCCTTCTTATCTGCGCTAGCCTCTGGGATGGAGATGATAGTGGGAGCGTTGAAACATTTGCAGCTGTGGTAGGAAAAAAAAGGGAGAGTAGTATTTAAAAAGACACATTTTAGAGTTCAAGATCTCGTTTTACCTATTATATTGAGGGCCTTCCGGTTTGGTGTGAGAGATCACACACACAGGGCCGGGCAACAGAATTTGGCTTGCAGACAGCCATGGTAAGCCACAGTCTTTTGACTTCTTTAAGTCTTCAGGTCAAATTAATCATTAAACATGCTTGCTTTTAAATCATGTATTATATTTACAGAGGTACACTCACCAGAGGTCCCTTCTCCGCATTCAAGGTCCGCGAGCCCGCCTTGGGAGGGTTGAGAGGGTATTGTCTCCAGGGTGATAAACAGTTCCTGGCTGTCGGGGAGAATGGTTTCTCCGCTTGCTTACTGTGCACTAGCTTCAACCTCCTCATCATCATCCTCATCCCCGAAATCCTCATCCCTGTTGCGTGAGACTCCCCCCTTGCAGGAGTGGGGTAGTGGTGGGGGCACCCCCTAGAATTGCATGCGGCTCATCATAGAATCGGCATGTCTGGGGCTCTGACCTGGAGTGGCCGTTTGCCTCTTTGGTTCTTTGGTAGGCTTGCCTCAGCTCCTTAAGTTTCACGTGGCACTGCTGCAAGTCCCTGTTATAGCCTCTGTCTTTCATGCCCTGGGAGATTTTTTCAAATATTTTGGCATTTCGTCTTTTGGAACGGAGTTCGGATAGCACGGATTCGTCTCCCCATACAGCAATCAGATCCAGTACCTTCCCTTCGGTCCATGTAGGAGCCCTTTTGCGATTCTGGGACTCCATGGTCACCTCTGCTGATTAGATCTAAACGGTCACCTGTGCTGATCAGCTTGCCATGCTGACCAAACAGGAAATGAAATTCAAAAGTTCCCGGGGCTTTTCCTGTGTACCTGGCCAGTGCATCTGAGTTGAAAATGCTGTCCAGAGTGGTCACAATGGAGCACTCTGGGATAGCTCCCAGAGGCCAATACTGTCAAATTGCATCCACACTACCTAGGGTGACCAGACGTCCCGATTTTATCGGGACTGTCCCGATATTTCCTTGTTTGTCCCGCGTCCCGACCGACATGCGGTCGGGACACTGGACAAACAAGGAAATGCCCCGGAGCCTAGAGCCCGGAAGTGCTCGCCACCCCCCCCCCGCCGACTCCGCCCCTCCTCCCCGATTCGGCTCCCTCCCG